CTAGCCTTTCCAACGCCGCAGATACCTCGTTCATTCCCAGCGACAACTAGTGCAGAAAATCGCCGATAGCGACCAACAGTAGCAGTCATCGTCGAAACAGCCTATCAGTATAAAACAGAGAGAGACATGCATCGAATTCCGCAACAAAAAATTGACGTGAACGAAAAAGATGGATTAAAGAAACCCATACTTTAAGCTCAAGTACGCGAGTGTCAAAGCCGGGAGAACCGGAGTCCAAAGGCCCTAAGGATTGACCACCCATGCTTGCACCAGTCCAGCCGCGAAGAAGCGGGGGCAGCTTCACTCTTTTCTTCTTCACAGCCGACTTATTTCTCAATTCCTCCAACTTATTCAGATAATCCTTATTCACATCACCCTAGAAATGGGGGACGTAAAAGTCTCTTAACTAAATGCATAGTGTACTAACATACACGCCAGAACGCGGTAATTTATAAGTTTACATTTTGTGCAAAGGAACCGTGGCACATAGGAGTAGAGAAGGACACAAAAGCTTACCTTCTGAACTTTTTGCAATGTAGATTGACGGTACAGTGGAGCGTTTAGTCCCGGCCATAGGTATCCTTCACGGTTCCCCCCAAGACGTTGACCACGATTAAGATCAATTTTGGGTCTAGTTACACGACGTTTGCCACGTGCGCGTTTTTTTGTGCTACCCTTTGGGCCCGTTACGCCCTCCCAAATAACGTCAGCCGGTAAGGAAGTGAAAATAGTACTAAACCTCACGGGAATGACACTAAAGTGCGGGCGGACCAATGGACACCTCGATGGTACGAGGGTGGTAATGGAGGTTGATAGCAATGCGCCTCGCGTCTCCAATATTGAAGCGCATTTAAATGAAATATCACACCAAGAGTAGCCTAGATGGACTCTCTGCAAGACCGATGGTAGGAACCTCAACATCGTCGAGCACAGTGTTATACAAAGCACCTAAACCCCGCCGTAATTTAGTATTACTAATGTTATATGTATATTTTGGAACCCAGCATATCAACATGTATAAGCTTATATGCGCGCTGATTATATCGCTAGTTATATATGCTTTTATTGATGGAGTTGCATTAGCCATGTTTGATAAATGTCGACCTTGCGTTTTTTTGAAGGACGTCCGCTCCGTTTTAAAAGCAGGTGATGGTTGGATTGGTTGATGTTGGGTCGGGCCACGTGTGCCGATCTCTGCCTCTGTTTCTGGGTTATTTTAGCCTGCTTTACCCGCTGAAGACCATTCTTGGATGGACTGTTTGTGTTGCGTATTGTGCCTCCATCCTTATCAAGAAATTGACTCCGCGCGAAGTTCTATCTTATGTAGTCCTACACTATCAATCGTTAATGTTCTTGCTGTTCTGCATCCTAACGTCAGCCATAAGGTTGCGATGCTCAAACCTTTTCGAGAAGTCTACCTTGTGTCGACTTGGGAAAAACTTTCGTTCCCGCCGATTCCACAACATTTTCCTCCTCTGTGCAATATCATCAGTCGTGGTTAGCTCAGCACTAAATGGAAACATATCTCACCAGGATTTAATTGGCTTAGGATTGGTACTTGTTTCCATTGACTGGAGCTTTATACCGAGTCTAATTAGAGTGAGTTTAAAATCACTTACTATTGCATGCTAGATAAGCCTCACTGTTCCCATGTCTGGTTATTCTCATTTCGATCGTGAAAAGTACCTCAAGCTTCGTTCAGAAGAAGCCGCCAATTTCTTCTCAACAATGGATAACGTTGTGGTGGATCATTTTTTGAAACTGCTGCTGCTTAACATCGGTAGCTATTGGCCTCAATCTTATTTGGGCATCATTTGTGAAAGTTTAAAAACCCACCTTGCTGTTGCTTTCGTAGCAACTTTTAGCCTTCTCCCTGTCTTAACACGCATAAATTTTGCAAATAGTCCGCAAAATGCTCTTTTCTTCGATTTTCGCATGTACGTCTTCAGATTTTCATCCAACTTCCTTAGGTCGCAATTTATTTTGAAGGAAAGTAGTCGTGTGCGTTCTGAGTCTGAATCAGCTCCATCAAGGTGTGACACGAGTCCCTTTCAACCAGTGTACTCAGCTAACCGACGCGCAGCCTACCTTTGGATGGCCGCTGTGCTTGTTGTTTTGAATGCTATCATTGCGGGGCATTCGATTGCTCGTAGTGCATATTTGGATGGTTTTCCGAAGCTTATGGATAATTACCTCTGTTTTATGAACGCGTGGTTATGCATTGGCTCCTATCTCGTTTTAGTCACATGCATGTGCCGCCTAAGACATATCTTGGCTTTTGACTGCAGTTGTGAGATCTGCATCAAGTCGCATCCACGCAGGTCGAGGATGCGTTCTGATTCGGACTCCGTTAAAGTTCTTTTGCCCAATGTGGTATTTAATATGTCTTCGAATTTACCATCAGTGAGTAATGTTTTTGAACTTTCCATCATTTTTCTGGTACTCGTAGGCTGAAGAGTTTTTTGTCTTCCCGTTGTAGTTGAAGGCTGTCATTGAAACACCATTATGCTCCAAACCAGACGGTCAAAATCAGCACCATAGTGATGGTGATAATGAGGCCGATGAAGGTGAGCACACCATTAGTGCTATCTCATCCAAACTCGAGTGTACAATGAAAGCTCCTGCTGAAGACTCCGATGTGGTACGCCCTTTTATTTTCGCCCCCTTTGAAAGTCTGATCCTTTTGTCTGCTCCCCCATACCCGGATGCAAAACCCATTTCTTGGGAATACGGTTAGATTTCAGCGTTGTCAGACGCGGAAGTATTACAGTTGATTCGCGAGGGTCGTCTGAAGACTCGCGATTTGGAGACAGTGATGAAGAGCCTTCCGCGTGCAGTGGCCCTGCGTCGGCAGGACTTGGCCACGCGCATCAACAGCCCGCACTCCATTGATTGCATTCCCTTTGCCAACTACGACTACCGACCTGTCATGGGGCAGTGCTGCGAGGAGGTAAGAGGCCGTCGTCCCAATAGTCTACCAAATCGTTTATTGTTTTTCGGCATTGTTTGCCTTCGAAACTAATAGACGATTTTTGGTTTTCTGTAAAGCATAGGATGGGGATATTTCATGCATTTGGGTACCAGGTTAGAATTTGGCATTTGGAATATATGGTATTCGTTACATTTTATTGTTCATCTTGACTATTCTGCGTACCATTAGAACGGAGGTTGAATTCTGAAATAAAAGAATTGGAAAGGCTTAACTCTAAGAAGGTGAAGCTGCATTCATTTGTGGTCATTGCGCACCGTTGCACTTATGTCCTTAGAATGGCTGAGTTAGTCGAAACGACTCTACCACCCTTTCTGTATCACTCAAGAGCAAAAATTCTTTTTGCATCAATCCATTCAGGATTTGTAGGTTAATGTTTTCACC